TTCGCGCATGCCAGATCAACACACAAGCACGCACCTCACACACGCACCATACAATTGCACAAACACACACAAACTACCACACATCTCACGTCTCACACACGCACACGCATCTCACACCTCACACGCACACGCATCTCACATACATCTGACATGCACACACGACCACACGCACCTCACACAACCCCTCCGCCGTGCTGCTGCGCAGGTGCTTGAGAAGCGGGTGGTGTCGCCATCTGCGCCGTGGAGAATATGCTCGAAGATTGTGCCCATGTTCCTGCTGCCGCCGGAAGAGAAGGCCAAGCTCAAGGCGCGGCACGAGGACATGGAGCGACGCATGAAGGAGCGCAAGGAGAAGGAGAAGCAGCAGCAGAACGCCAACAAGAATTGACTTGAAATGATAACACAAGCAAGCGTGCAGCCGAACGATGTGTGTGTGTGTGTGTGTGTGTGTTCGTGTGTGCGTGTGTGCAGAGTCGTGTGCTCAGCTCGTGCGTGCGGTTTTCGACAGCATAAAAAGTGCATGAGCGGTTGCCGCGTCCGATTCGAAAACGCCTGTTGTGGTGGTGGTTCCGCACACACACACACACACACACACACACACACACACACACACACACACACACACACACACACACACACACACACACACACACACACACACACACACACACACACACACACACACACACACGCGCGCGCGCACACACACACACACACACACACACACGATGATGGCAAGGCGACGGCTTGTCGGTGCCTTTGCCGCCCTTTTGCTGGTTGTGTGTTGTGCGACCAACCCCTCACATGGCCTGCTGGCAGCAGAAGAGTGCTCTGCAACGACCGTGGGCGAGGCGTGTTCGCGCGGCCCCTGCTATCTTGATGGAATCTGCGTACGCGAAGCGTGCGTGGCGCAAGTGCGCGCAGACGGCGTCAACTGCACCTTCGTCAACGCGACGGCACCGAGCACCCCAGCACTCGACGGCGAGTGCGCTGCCGGCGTGTGCGTGCCTCTCCCTGATCCAACAACAACGACAACCACGACGACATCAACCACGTCCACCTCAACAAAGCTAGTCACCACAGCACAACCCACAGCGTCATCCACAGCGCAGGCAACAACAACAGCCAATGATCAAGAGCTCCCGTTCCCCACTGATCTCCAGAGCAATCGACCACCGGAAGGCATGGCATTCGTGGATGTCTACCTCGGCTTCACCGCCACGAGCCAGCGTGGCTTCTTCCTGTCGGTCTCCGCCGTGGATACGCTTCTCGATACGCTGCAATCCCGGCTTGCTCGGTACCAGCCTTCACTGTTCGTGGAGGCTCGCTACGTGTTCCCGATGTCTGGCACCACGACAACAACACCATCAGCAGCAACGGCGACGGCCACGGCAACAAGTGGGGATTCGTCCACACCCACGATTGCACCTCCTGCTGCCACCACAGCCGCCACGGTCCCGCTCGACCTCGACTTTGTGCCCAGCGACGTGATTGCGGTGCGGGTTGTGCTTACACGCGACGACACGGCAACGCTGCAGGATGTCGTGCTGAACATGACCGCGCTTGTCACGAGCAACGAGCTCGCCGTCGCGCTGCAAGACACACTGCCGCAGGTGTCGCAGGTGCTCCAGGACGTGTACATGTGGTCGTCTCCACGCACCCTCACGTATGTCGACCCCAACGCGACGCCAGCTCCCGCCAACGGCAACAGCGACATGGAGAAGCAGCTGCTGGTTGTTCTGTGGGCTGCCGTGGGCGTGGTGCTGGTGGTTGTGATTGCGCTGCTTGTGCACATGCGCCTGAACCGCCGCTCCCGCGTTAGCGCGGACCTTCTCCTCGCTGCCCGCGGCGTCGAGGCAGGCCACAACGGCGATAGCAGCAACAGCAGCAGTGGTCACGACCACGCGCAGCAACGAGGGACTGACGGTGGTCTGGCGGGACCAAAGAGTGATTTTAGCATGCAGCAGGACAATGTCGGTGTGAGCACTGGCCATATGGGCAAGTCGGCACCGTCATCCGTCTGGCTGTACTCCACGCGCGCAGCCGAGCTTGGCAAGCGGCAGGTTTTTGCCACCATCACCACCAGCGATGGCGACGATGGTGATGACGCAGTCATTCCGGAGGCGGCAGCCACATGCGAGGTGGACAATTTCACGGCAGCGCAGCGCCCGGAGAACAGGAGCAAGAACAGATATGTTGACATTCGCGCGTACGACCGCACGCGTGTTGTTCTCAAGTCAAACCCGCTCGTTCCCGGCAGCGATTACATCAACGCCAACTATGTCCCGGTCAGTATGTGCTGTGTGGTGCGTGCTTATCTGCTGCTGCTGCTGCCGCCGCTGTTGTTGTTGTTGTTGTTGTTGTTGTTGTTGTTGTTGTTGTTGTTGTTGTGCGGGGGTCGAGGGGTGGGAGCTTGAATGATGTCCAGATGTGTACTGTGCATTGTTACTTCGGGCTGTGTGTGCTACAGGTTTCGTGCATGCGATTGCACGTTATCTTGGAGTGTGTTGTCACCACGACCTTGTGAGCCATTCACCTCACGACGCGCAAATGTACCACCATCACCACCATCACCACCACCACCACCCAATACCACTGCTACCATGATTCACCGCCAGGGCTATTCGTCTCCGTACGAGTACATCTGCACGCAGGGGCCCCTGCCCAGCACGGTGGCGGACTTTTGGCGAATGGTGTGGGAGCAGCGCAGCACCGTCATTGTCATGTTGACGCAGCTGGTGGAGAGTGGTCGCGTCAAGTGCGAAAAGTACTGGCCTCAGCTGCACGAGGAGGCAGACTTTGGCATCATCCAAGTCTCCTGCTTGCACGTACGTTGTTGTTGTTGTTGTTGTTGTCGTTGTTGTTGTTGTCGTTGTTGTTGTTGTCGTTGTTGTTGTCGTTGTTGTCGTTGTTGTTGTTGTTGTTGTTGTTGTTGTTGTTGTTGTTGTTGTTGTTGTTGTCGTTGTTGTTGTTGTTGTTGTTGTTGTTGTTGTTGTTGTTGTTGTTGTTGTTGTTGTTGTTGTTGTTGTTGTTGTTGTTGTTGTTGTTGTTACATGGGTTGCTCATGCTTGCTTCAAACACGCTGCATGTCACGCTGCATGTTCCTCATGTGTGCTGTCGTGTCTTCAACCACAGGTCCAGCGTGTTGAAGGCATTGTCGCCGTGCACACGCTTCGTCTCTACAACATCAACACGTGCGTCAACACGTGCGTGTGTTGGGTGTGTTGTGTGTGTGTGATGCAGCTGGATGGGCTTGGTGTCCCGTCTCTTTCCCACCTCGTGCCTCACATGCGTGTGCGTTGTTGATGCCATTCGCTGCTGACCACATGTATCCACGCAGCCGCACCTCGCGTGTGATCACGCACATCCACTTTCTCGCATGGGACGACCACGATGTGCCGGATGTGGACACGCTGCTGCGCCTCCGCACAGAGGTACGCTTGGTGGTGATGGCGGTGATGGCTGTGGTGGTGGCGACAGCGGTGGTGAGGTGGATTTGCTGCTGCTGCTACTGCTGCTGCTGCTGATGATGATGATGATGATGATGATGATGATGATGATGATGCAAGCGATGATGATGTGTGGTGGTGATGTTGTGATTGATTTCTCTGGGCTTGATCGTAGTGAACCCCTCTTTCTCACTTTCAAACGCAACACACGCGCACAATCCGAACAAACACACCACCGCACCCACCACGTTGCAGACGCTTCGCTTCCGGCGCGGGATGGTTGGACCGCTTGTGGTTCACTGCAGCGCCGGTGTTGGGCGCGCTGGCACGTTTGCACTCGTTGACACGGAGCTCAACAGATTCGAGAACGAACGCAGGGTGCAGCCAGTCGCAAGTGCGTGTCAATTGCATGTGTTTGTGCATCATGTGTTCTAACATGGCTGTTTATGTGTGTCGAGCCTGTCGTTGTTTCGTTTGCAAGCAAGCGAGCGAGTGAACACGGTCTCTTGTGTGTTCACGTGGTTCTATTTGCTGCACCGATTGCAACCGTGGACGTCGACGTGTTGTTCTTTGTTTGAATGGCGCGTGCTTACTTGCTTATCCATTCCTCTGTATTACTTCCTCTCCTTTGAACGTCACTAACAGCGCTTGTGAAGCTCCGCCGAAGCCGCACGCATCTCGTGCAGACGGCCTCCCAGTTTGTCTTTGCCGTTCGCGCCATCGTTCGCGGCGCAGAGCTCATGGTGAGGCGTCTCTGTGTCTGCTTGTGTATGTGTGTGGCGGGGGGAAGTGCGTGCGTGTGCGTACGTGCATGTTGGCTTGTGTGTGTGTGTGTGCTTGGCTGCATGTCCTGGGTGGATTTGTTGCTCGCGTGTTCACGACATCACCTACATACACAAGCAAATGAATGCGTTCAGTATGGACAACCACACACACACACACACACACACACCTTCAACTATCATCATCCTCACCACCACCACCACCACCACCACTCCCAACTACTACTACTACTGCTGCTGTGCCAGGACGAGCGTGGACCGATGGGCTGCGATGTGCAGATCCGCACGTTCCTCAAGTCCTTCCGCGTGAGCGACGCGTTCCCGTTGTTTGATCTCTGCGCAAATGGCCGGCGTGTGCGTGCGCTCGGTTTTGCTCGCCTCGCCAGCCAGCCGTTCCGCGGCCTCCCCGTGCACCTGGTGCTGTGCAACGACGTGTTTGTGCTGACGACGCGCGTGTCGCGTGGGCAGTCTGTACTCGTCACAGCGCCGATGGCACGCGAGGACGTGTACTGCGACAGCATGGCCGGCCACTGGGAGGACGACATGCTCAAGGTGACGGCGGCGCGCGGGAAACGTGAGCTGCTTATTGTGTTTACCTCCAGCGTGGAGAAGAACCACTGGATGGACCTTCTTGGGTCACGGCGTGGTGTTGTCAAGACGGAGGAGCTGAGCGGCGTGCGTATGACGTCGCCCGTTCAGCGCCAGGTGCACGAGATTGCAGCCCTGCTGGGCCTGCCAAACCCTTTTACCACATACGGCGCCGGCGAACTCACCGCAACGTGGAAGCGCGTCCCAAAGGTGCGCGCGTGTGTAGTTGTGAGTGCGTGAGTGAATGAGTGAATGAGTGGAGTTGTGAGTGCGTGAGAGAGAGAGAGAGTGTGTGTGTGTGTGGTTGTGATGGCGACGGAGGATGCGTCAGTGTTTACGTCCTTCAGGTCGTCGTTTTGCTCTATTCTTTGTGCAACTTTCAATTGCACCACACACACACTCACACGCACTCACCAAACACACTCACACGCACACTTGCAGGAGATTCTGCTGCCAGAGGAAGTTGATCACGACACGCGCCGCCGCGTTACGTACAACGACGATGAAGAGGAGCACGAGAATGGCATTGTTATGCACAACAACAACTACTACAACAACAACAGCGCCATTGCAAACACCACCGCATACGACAACAGCAGCAACAGCAACAACAACAACCTTGCTGGTCGCCCTGGTTGGCGGTATGTTGTTGCACAGGCGGGCGGGCCGTCACAGGCGATTGCTTCGCTGGTGCAGCAGGTGCAGAGCGCCGAGCAGGCAAACGACACGGCCACGGACCTCCTTGAGATTGAGTACCTGATGAAGGCGATGGAGGTTGAGCAGGGCGAGCGCGACGTGCACGCGTTGATTGCCGAGGCGCGGGAGGCGGAGGTGTCTGCCATGCTCGAGCAGCAGCGACGGGAGATTGAGGAGCAGCTGTTGCAGGAGCGCGGGCCCGTGAATCCGCTTGACGGCAGCGCAACTGGCGACCGGTACATCAGCGGCAGCGGCGGCAACGCCCGCTCGAGGGATGGCGGATACATGCACGTGGGACCGGAAGTGGACTCCGGCGATGATGATGATGATGATGCTGATCGTGACGGCGGGCGGTCGAGCCCCGGCGGGCGGTCGCTGTACGCGGAGTCCGTTTATACGGTGTACACGGAGACGGGTGACACGACATACGAAACAGCCAACGATGACGAGGAGGAGGAGGAGCGGCAAGACGAAGGAGACTACGGCGGCAGCAGCCGGCGGCGACAGCGCAGACAAGGACGCCAGCCGCAGGCGCCAGCCATGCACGGTATGCGCGCGCAGCAGCGGCCAATGTGGCAGCAGCACGCCATGGCCCCATCCACCGCACCTCCGCCTGCATACCATGAGCGTGGCCACGTTGGCGGCGGCGATTCATCAGATGAAGGGGAGATGCCGGCAGGTGCGCGCCGTGCGCCCCCACGGAAGGTCTTCCAGGACCCGGCCGCAGTCTTGCAACAACAGCAACGCCAACAGCAGCAGCAGCAGCAGCACGTGGCGACTCAGCCAAGAGCACAATGGCGGCAGCCGCAGCAACAACAACAACAACAGCAGCAACAACAGCAGCAACAGCAACAGAGTCAGCGTCATCGGGCAGAGTCTCAGAACGGCGGTGAGGAGCAGCCGTACTTGCTGCGGCGTCCAAGCTCGCGATCACGGCGACAGCGGCGCGGGTCGACGATGCTTGATGCCGAGGGGCGGATTGTGCAGGTGCGCCATGGCCCAGTCGCCGACATTAGCGGTGACGCTGTGGTTGCAGGTGGCATTGATGGCGGTCACGAGGGCGGTGATGTGCTGGCTGTTGCTGGCGATGGTGATGGCGGCAGCGTGTTTCTGCCAGGCGAGTCCGCCGCGGCACCGACAACAACAACAGCGGCAGCGCGGAGAGCCCCAGGTTCAGCAGGCGATGCGACAACTGGACGGACGGCGTTTGAGGGCCGACGCCGGAGCCTGCACCGGCGCCCGAGCCGCAAGAAGATCCGCGTGCGCACCACAATTGCCGGGTTTGCGCTTGCCAAGGGCGCGGCGAAGCGGCTGGCGAAGAACCAGTATGAGCGGCAGCGGGCAATGCAGCGTCGCTCCAGTGGCGATTTCACCGGCGGCGCCGAGCAGGGGCGGCATGCAGCAACAGCGGTGGGCGCACCAACATCAGCAGCGGCACCTTCAGCGTCGCTGACGTATGATGAACACGGCAACATTGTTGCTCGCAAGGATGACAACAACAACAGCAACAGCAACAACACCGGTGACCCATACGACTACCTCGGCAACTGAGATGGGGTGGGAAAGAGAGAGAGGGGGGGGGGGAGGGTGTGTGGGGTTGTAGTGTTAGTGTGTGTTAGTCGTGTGTGTGGGGTAGTGTGTGTGGTGGTGTGTGTGTGTGTGTGTGTGTGTCTGTTCCTGCACACTGCACAGTTTTGGTATCCATCCGCTTCCGTCGTTCCTTCGTCGCTTTCGTTTGTGTGCCATCAAATCAAAACCATTCGCCACATCATTCGCCACACAATTGCTGTACTTGATGCATCGCTGCCTCGAATGTCCCAGGCAACGCAAAGCCCCAACCAAACACACACGCTCGGATTTTTGGCGTTGCTGCCAACTTTGCTTTGCTCTGCTCGTTCTTGCTTTCTTGTTGCTTGCCGGCCGTGGCCCACGACCATCAGCATCACCTGCAACCAACAGCAGCCAGCCAACAAACCAAAAAAACCATCACCGACCGACCTGCGTCCTCCCTTCTCCTCCCCCTTTTCCTTCCTCGCCTTCGCTCCTCTCTATTCACACGCATCCTAGCCCGGCCCAGGGATCGTCGTCATTGAACGCGTGCTCGTGTGTATCCTCCCACTCCCTCCTCCCTCCTCTTGCATCCTATCCTCCTTTTCTCCACTCCACACCAAGCGCACTCGCACATTTCCTTGGCGCAAACAGGCTTGACAACGAACACACACTCAAAAGTCAGCCATCTTGTCACCTGAAGATCCCTCCCTCGACTTGTGTGTCAATTGTGGGTGCGCACATCTTTGTCCCACCGCCACGAACTGGCTAGCTAGTAACGGCAGCAGATCAAAGTATCTTCATCTGCGCCTGGTGTTTTGTACATTACCGAGGAGACTTGCCTGCGTGCAAGCACTTGAGAGCGAAAGCCGGTTGCTTGCAAGCAACGCAAACCACAACATCGGACAGCTGTTGTTGTCGAGTGGGTTCGACCTCTCTTTTCTTCTGATCTCTGTGTCTGCCTTCACTCGCCTTTTCATCTCCTGCACGAGGGCGCTGGGCGCTTGATCACAAGTATCTCTCTCTCTCTCCCTCTCGGTTCCCACACGCACATACACACGCACACACATACACACATACACACACACACATACATACACACACACACACACACTTTCTCTCTCCTTCTCACACACGATCTCTTGGTTTCCACTTGCGCGAGCGCGTGTGTTCCGTTCTTCCATCCACTCGTCTTCATTGTTGTTGCCTTTGTTGCGTATTGCTGTGACCACGATCCTTCGTTCTCTCTTCTCTGTCTTCTTCGTGTGCGGTTGTGCATGCAATGCTGCTGCCCGGAGCGCAAAACAAGATGGACAAGTACTCGCGCGTGAAACTGTTGGGCAAGGGGACGTTTGGCAAGGCCTGGAAGGTGCGCAACTGCGAGGACCACAAGGAGTATGTGGCCAAACAAATCAAGTGCGAATCACGGCAAGATCTCAAGGACGCACTTCAGGAGGCCGAGGTCCTCTCCAAGCTGGGACACACTCACATTGTCAGGTGTGTGTGACATGGATGAAACCAACAACCTTGCTGTTGTCTTCGTTGTTGGTTGTAGTTGCATTTCGTGTAGTTGTCGTGTAGTCTTTGTTCTCGTTGTTGTGTTTGATGTCGTTCGTTGGAGACGCTTGTCGCTCTCGCTGGTGATGTGTGCGATCGCGTTTGTGTCCGCTTGCTTGCATGCAGGCATGCGGGCAAAGCGCCCCCCGCCCTCTCCTTTTTGTGCTTCGGTTTTTATTTGTTGTTGTGGAGCTGGCTATTGTTGGCTACGCTTGCTTCTTTTTGCGCCCTTTCCTTATTTTTTGCGCCTGTGTCTAGGTGTATTGTGTTATCCATGCACGCATTGATGTTGTTTTGCCACTGCACACCACACCCATCCTCATCCTCGCTGTCCTGGTTGTTCGCATGCGTGCGTACGTGGTTGCGTTTCAGTTACTCAAAGGTGATCCAGAATTCGCCAAAGATGGTGACCATCATCATGGAGTACTGTGCCGGTGGTGATGTTGGAGAGAAGATTTCCCGCCGAAAGTTCCGCAACCAGTACTTTGACGAGAACACCATTCAGCTGTGGATTGTGCAGGCTGCAGAAGCCCTCAACTACCTGCACGCAAAAGGCATTTTGCATCGCGACGTCAAGCCCGCCAACTTGTTTCTCACGGCGGACGCCACTGTCAAGCTGGGCGATTTTGGTATTGCCCGTATCATGGATCGCAACGCCATCATGCCTGCTGAGCGCACAACCAAGACCCCGGTCGGCACGCCCATGTACTTTTCCCCAGAGGTGCGCACGTGTGCACGTTGGTGCGTGTGTGTATGTGTGTGTGTGTGTGCGTGTGTGTATGTGTATCCCGTGTGCGTTGGCTTGTGTGTATGAATGTGTGTGTGTGTTTACACGCGTGTGTGCGTGTGTGTGTGTGTTGGTTCTTGGTTTGTGTGTGTTGGTTAGTTTGTTGTGGCACGGTTTTGTTGTCGTGTCTCGGTGATTCGCAGCAATGGTTTATTGGGGACACCTTTTCCCACTCACCACCCTTCCTTCGTCTATCTTTTGTTCATCACCATGCCTCTGTTCTTCTGTTCTCTTCTTTATCCTTCTATTTGTTCGGCTGCTTACTTGCAGATGTGTTCTGGGAAACGGTACGGCCAAAAGGCGGACGTCTGGGCTCTCGGCTGTGTGCTCTACGAGGTATGGACAACGGAAGGGGAACAGCGTTTGGGGGGGAACGGAAGATGCGCTCACGTTGACGCGATCGCATGTGGTGGTGATGGACAACGCTTGACGCGACGGTGGTCAACACTTGACTAAACGATTCTGTCCACCGCTTCTCACACCAGAACAAACACACACACACACACACACACGCATGCCCACACACACACGCGCATACACACACACACACACACACACACACACACACACACACACACACACACACACACACACACACGCACGCACACACACACACACACACACACACACGCACACACACGCACACACACACACACACACACACGCATACACACACATCTAGTGTGCTGCGTTACGCCCTGCATTTACAGCGACATCCATGGACTCCTTGACAGCCAAGATCAAGCGGGGTCACCACGATAAGCACTTGCCCACGCGCTATGGGCATGGCCTGCGCAAGCTCATTGCTCGCATGCTCTCACTGGATCCCATGCATCGGCCCACGGCGTACGAGGTGCTGCATTCCGAGTACCTTGCCCTCGCTGCCATGGAAAACCGCCGTCTCAACGCCGCCAAGCAACCGCACCCACATGTCCACGACCCTGCGGAAGCAAAGAACTCCCACGCACCCAACATCATGGTCATTGATGACGACGTAAGTGCATTCGGAAAGTGGTTCCTTGGTGAACAACCCCCTCCAACATGGCTCTTTTTGTGCAATGCTTCCCCACTGCACAGCTCTTTCTTTCTCGTGCGCTATGTCTTTCACATGCACATGCACACATACACACACATGTACACACACATGTACATACACATGCACACATACACACACACTCACACTCACTCACACTTACAATCCTCACGCCAACCCCCCTCCTTCTACACAAACACACACACATCACAACACACCACAGCCGCTGCATGCAATCTTGTCAAAGGACATGCCACCAGCGCAGAGGAAGCTGTCTCCGTTGAAAGGGCGGCGGGAGAAAGGCGTGCATAACCCGCCGGCGAAGCAGCATCGCAGAGGCGCCGACGACCACCTGTTCATGGTGGAGGGCCGTGTGAACCAGCTGCAGTCGCGCGAGGGCAGCAGGCCCACCTCCACCGACAAGAAGAGGCCCCCACACCAGCAGCAGCACCCGGGGCAGCCTGGGCGGCGAGCAAGGTCGCCGCGCGACCCACGGGAAGCGGGCCAGGCGTACATACCGTCACGGGGCGGTGGGGTGCGGCACTCGCCGTTGGTGGCAGGCCAGCAGCACCAGCACGTCAGACCCAGCGGCTCCCCGCATGCGGCGGCTCACTTGAGCCCCGGGCTGCGCCGCAAGAGCGACTTTGAGCTCGTCAGGCAGCGGAACGTGCGCTCTGGCCGACGGGACTCACCCTCCTCCAACCAGCACCCGCAACTGCACCAGCAGCACCAGCATCAGCACCAACACCAGGCGCCACCGGACAGCTACGTTGCGCAGCTGCAAGCGCACCGCCGTCACAGCGTGGATGTGCTCCCTTCCATGCCGCACAGCCGCGCCAAGAGCCCAGCAGGGCGCTATCAGTTCAATGCGCGCCAAAACCACATCACCCCTGGCCAGGGCGGCGGCCGCTACAACTTTGGTGGCGCCAGGAGGTAGTGGCGCGTGGGATGTGCGCGCGTGCGTGTGTGTGTGCAGGGTGTGTGGTGTGTGGCGTGACATTGGACGAGAGTCGGTAATCAAAGTCTTCGAGTACAGAGAGCCTAGCCCAAAGCCAGTGGGTTTGGGTTTTGCTGGTTTTGGGTTGCATGACAGCAAGGAGGAGGGTAACAAAGGTGTGTGAAGGGTGATCTTCCGTTTGCTGCACTGCATTGTGGATTGGTTCTGGCCGTTTGGGGTGGGAGGGGGCTGTTTTGTCTGGGTTGTCGCTCCTGGCTTGTCACTGTTGAACCTCTGCTGCTGCTTGCTTAGTTGCTTGCTTGCATTGCTGCTACTTGATTGCTGCTCTCCTTTGCGCGTTGTTGATCCCTTGCTCGGATTTGCTTCGACTCGCTGCCGCTGGCTGTGCAAACTGTTGTTACCCTGTTACGGCGACAGCTACGATGGTCGTGTGTACATACAAAGATGCAGAAAGCAGTGCAGCATGCATGCAAGAAGTTTTTGTGTGATGTGAAAATGGCGTGACATGAGATCAATGTCAAGCAAGGAAAGGAAGGGTGAGTGTTCGCTTGCTTGGGAAGGAAGTCACGGCAGCGCAGCAATTTTTTTTTATTTTCAATTTTGCATGCCCCAACATAGCAAAGAAGCTCCATTGGCGCAGTTGGTTAGCGCGTGAGTCTAATAAACTCAAGGTCATCAGTTCGAGCCTGGTATGGAGCAGCCGTTGTTTTTTGCTTGTTTTTGACTTGTTTTTCAGGTTTGCTTAACAGCACCATCAGACAACCCGTATGCTGTCGCCATGTCTGTTACATTTTACGTCCAAGGATGCCACGACAGGCAAAGCGAAAGGCGGAAACTAGAGAGACTTGACCACCGAACTGACACCTCACGCAACACTGACACACCACTCCATTGGCGGTGTTGTACTTTATGTTTGTTTGTCGTTAATGTAATGAAATGAACCACGGATACGGTTACACATCGCTCAGGACAGTTGAGCCCTTACAGGCAAAAAACAAAAAACAAAAACAAAACACGCTGACAGCGCACGAGAGAAAGAAACGCACAACAAAGCGCGCGCACACACACACACACACACAGAGCAAACAAAAAGAGCGGCCGGATCAGCACGATGAGGAAGCCAACCGACGTAGCTTGGACAATAAAATAAATCTGAAATGACCATGATGTGAGGAAACACAAGGCAAGGGCAAATCAAGGGTGAGCTGGAGAAACACCACGAGCGCACCAGGCTGTGTGAAAGGAAATGGGGAACAGATCGAAGAGCAACGAAGGAAGGGGGAAGAAAAGGTTGTGGGGGTGGGAGAAACAGAGCGACCAAACAAAGAGTCGTTTGACGACAAATGAAAATGTACGAGTGCGGTAGCGACTAGTAGCTGATGGGAAGCAGCCGTAGTCGACTCTAAGAGCACCCAAGGTGATCTTGCAGCGAAATGTAAATTCCCAAACCTCAACAGCCCACAAGTCTTCACAAAAAGGGCTGAAAGGCTCTAGCAGCTGCGTTCAAGAGAAGGCGGTTGAAAAGCAGAAAGAAGAGGAAGAGGAAGAGAGAGAGAGAGAGAGAGAGAGAGAGAGAGAGAGAGAGAGAGAGAGAGAGAGAGAGAGAGACAAACAAAGCGCCACACAAACGAGGAAGACGAGACTAGGCGAGCACATGTCGCAGTTGACCAAACTCACCACAACAGAGACGAATTAGCTTAGCCAAAGAGGAACGAGGTTGCAAACGCGTTAAGCTTCCGTGGGCAGCAGGAAGGACAAGCCCTGCAATCACAACAGTCACAGGAGACAACAGGAGGCAGTGCAACGTGTGCAACAAGACAAGCCATGTCGTGAGATACAAGTGGGAAGAGCCAACGTTAGATTAGAACACATGCTCGTTCGTACGTACGTCTCACAGACGTCACAAGCCAAAACCATGAACAACAACAACAACAACAACAACATCGACAGCACAATGACAACAACAGCCCGTCAGAAGGTGGTGCATGTGATTCTCTTCAGCACGTGACGCAAAGGTCACTCTGATACATCTTGATTCAAAACACGAGTTCATCACCCGGACACAGTCAAACAGCGACATACATACACAAGAGCAACCAACAGTACAAGGAACAACAAAGTGCAAAGAAAGGCGTACCTTGCGCTCCAGCGTGCGCTTAAACAGCGCCTCGTTCTTCCTCTTCTGGAAGGAGGACAGGTCACCGCCCAGGGCAGCGGTGAGCTTCTTGGCGGCTTCCTCGCCCTTGGCTTCGTTCATGGCGGCAACAACCTCAACAACAAAGCTGAAGGGGTTCATCAGCGGCTTGAGCGTGGACTCATCCTTCAGCAGCGTCTCAATCTCGTTGTCGTCAAGACCCTTTCCAATGATGCCACCACAGGACCAAGGAGCAACGAGTGTGAGTGAGTGCCCAATATCCGCCGCGTAGCGTAAAACTAGAACAGAAGCACACTCAGCGACGAGGCATAGACAAAACCGATAAAACGCAGTGGAGCTCAACATTCACAACAACTCACGTTGACAACAAACTGCGCCAGGAATGCAGGGGCCTTTGGCGAGTCCATGCTGTCGTCATCGAGCGTCTCCAGGCGGTCGTGCGTGCTGTGTACACCAACCACGAAAGATAGATACGAACAGATACGAAGATGATGGCGTGACGCAGGCAAGCAAGCAAATAGACAGCGAAAACAAAAACATGGTGTGAGAATCACGCGCAGGTCAGCACTCGGGTGGGGAAATGAGGAGGAGCAGAATCGATGGCACACAAACACACAGCACAGCGACAAGATGTCTCAGTTTAACGAGATTATTTGCTCGTCACGGTATGCACCTCCAAGTAAATGAAGGGGCATTCAGGATTAGCATGGTTAATTCACATCATAGACATCTGGCCAATCACTGCCGCTAAAAAGCTCGAAGCTTCAACAAAGGCCACACACAAAAATACAAAAACAAAAACACAACCCAATGCGCAACAACATGTATCGACAACACACACACACACAGCGACTTACGCTTGCAGGGCGTGCTTGTGGGTGAGAATCTTCTCGGACATGAGCTTCTGCAGCAGCTGGAGGAGGGCCTCGCGCTTCGGGGCCTTGATCAGACCAAACAGGTCGGCCACAAGCTCAGACACAAACACGTGGTACTGGTCCTCGCCAAGCTCACGCACGCACGCGTACAGCTCTTTGTCGTCCTTGTTCAGCACATACTCCTGCGCACGTGAAATGATTCATGTCAATCATTGGGGAGGGGCAAGCGAGCAAGAGGAAATGATCAGTGGTCGAAATGGGGTTGTGGACGGACATGTAAACACGACCAACCCGGTACACAAACACACACACACACACACAACACTAGACACAGCACGCAGAGCGAAGCACCTCAATGGTGTTCCTGCAGGAGCGCTTGAGCTTGTCGAGGTCCTGGGCGGGCTCTGCGGCAGGGGTCTCAGGCTCGGGAGTGGGCTCAGCCTCGCCAAGGAGCTTGTAGCGGTTGGCGGGCTTGCTTGGGGCCGGCGTGGCTGACTGGCTTCCGGGCAGCGTCGGGCGGGAACCGCGGGAGAAGCGGGACGCCTGGTTGGCGCGGCGCATGGGCGCAAGCTTGCCCTGAAGACCAATCTTGTTCACGTCGCGGCGCTCCTGCGTCATCTTTGCCTTTGCACCCGGCTGTACGAGGAAGAGAAAAAAAATTGGAGACAGGACGAGCAGAGAGAACAGGGGTGAGTCAAGACGTTGTTGGTGGCACAATGGAGCACTTCTGCGATAGTTACGATACAGCAACAAATCGTAAAGATACCGCAACAAACGAAACTGGTGGGTGGTGGTCAGAGACATGATTCATCGTCATGGGCTCCAGCGCTGGCTTTCATCGCCCGATCAGACGACACTTCCTATTGATGTTCAAGAATCATGTAACAATCATCATGCCACCACCATCAAAATCTTGTATACAGACGTGCTCTGTGTGTGTGTGCGCGCGCGCGGCATACCTGTGAGGAGGAGCTGGTGCGCCTGCCCTGCAGCGGGCGGCCATGTGACTTCATCTCAGCCTGCGCCTCGGCAATAACATCCTTGCGCTTGCGCGGACCATCTTCAGGCTTGACCCATCTGTGGGGTGTGTGATGCAAGCAGTCATCATCATGACCGGAGCAGTGGTGAATGAGTGAAAATGCATGGAAAAACGCGAGGCTGTTCAGGGTGCGTCGACTTCATTGCACGCCCAATCCCCCTTCACACACGCAAACACACACACACACACACTCTGCCTCTTTCTCTCACACTCACCCACACATGCAACGCACCCCTTCTTGCGAAGGTCCTTGATGTCCATGATGAAGAACTGGAGCTTGTTGGGGATGTGCTTGCAGCCGGAGAGTCGGCCGAGGTACTCCTCGAGGAGCGGCTTCTGCTCCTTCTCAAGCTTGGCGCCTGCCTTCTCCACAATCTTGCACATGCACATGACCGCGTCTTCGGCCTCGTTCTGCTTCCAGTACGTCTCCACAACCTGCTTGAGCAGGTCAAGGCTCACCTGCAGTGCATGGGTGGTGCGGATCAAAACGGTGAGAGCTACGCCATCACAGTAACTTGGCAAGCAAAACATCAGAACGAAAGAAAGTACAGGGAGATGAAGGAAGAAAGCATACAGCACGCGGTTGAAAGCCGAGCGCAGAAACAAGCACAAGAACAGCACGAAGAAAAACACAGAAACGACAAACAGAAGACAAAGAAACGGATTGGGTTGAATGTGTGCTCAAGGCATGAATGCATGCACTCGTCCACTTTCATGCAATGCATAGCGGTATTGACACCGCCACGCATGCTTGCGAAAGGAGCGATAGCTCGTGCACAACTATAGTAAACATATAGTGTCGGTCTTGGCCTGACTCGAACAACCATCGAGATGGGGATAAGAAAACTCAAGGCTGCAGATACCACTTCGGCCGAAAAAAAAAAAAGAACGAAAGGAAAAAAACCCACGACGGAACGTACACAACAGGTAGAATGGCGAAAGAACAGGGAACAAGAACAAGAAGAAGAAGGAGGAGGAGGAGGAGGAGGTGATGTTGATGTTGTTGTCGCTGTTTTGGTGTTTGTCGTGCTTGGTTGCTGTTGGGTAGTCGCATTCAACCCTGCACTGTAACGTACCACAGTTTCGTTGAAGAGCTCAGCGACGAAGACAGCGTTGCCAATGAGCTTCTGGCGCTTGCGGTTGAGCGTGTACAGCTCGTCGCCCTGCTTCTGAAGCTCGGGATCGTTGGGGTTGCCTGCAGAGACAAAGTTGTAACAAACAAAGGGGGGGGGGGAGGACAGCGAGGAGAAGTAGGAGCAGAGTGATGTGAGACCACATGCAACGAGACACAAGCACCAAAGCGGAACAATGCACGCGTACTCAAAGAAAACAAACGTAACATGCACGTACAAACATACGCAAACAAACATGCACGTACAAACATACGCACGCAAACATGCAAACAGAGTGACCGACCTTGCTGCAGCTCCTTGACAATCTTCTCGAGCTTCTTGATCTCCGTGTCAAGTGTCTTGAAGTCTTCCTGCACATCCTTCTTGCAAATGGCCAGGAGTTTGTTCTGGAAGGTGGGGAACTTGGCCCCCAACTTCTCCGTTCGCGCTCTGCTCAGGGACTTGCACAGCTTTGCGTAGATCATGGAGAAGAACTCGCTATCCTTGGCCTGTGATGGGCAACAAACCGCATGCGCGTGCGTTTAGGTGAGGACAACGTGGGGACATGGAAATAAGCGAGAGACAGGATCACCACTTTGCTCTTTTGCGTCAAGAACAGAGCGTCACACTTGGAACAACAGCGACGCATAGCGCCAAACCAAGGCCGACACATCTCGATTCGCGCACATGCACGCGCGCGGTTCCGTTCAAACACAACCATCACACGGCAAGGCTTTGGGGTCGTACCGTGTCCTGGATGAGCTCGATGAACTTGTCAAACTCCTCGCTGTCAGGAGGGAGCTGCTCTGCCTCCTGGATAATGTCAAGGACAATATCGTCAAAGTTGTCCAGGGTGATCTTGCCCAGGTGGCCACGAAGGTTGCCAATGATGCTCTGCTCGCCTCGCTTGAATGCGTTCTCGGAGCGCTTGAGAGTGACATCCGTGTCGGGGATGTGGACGGAGATGAGGTGTGGGCCACGAGCCTGGGGTGGCGGCATGGGCCGGCGACCACCGCCACGACGGCGGGTGCCACCAACAAGCAGCGAGGAGGATTGGTTGTTGGGGCCTGTGCGAGGCTGGCGGCTCGGGCGATCGTCTGTGCGGGCGCGGCCGAACTGGTTGAGCGGGTTCTTGCAGCCTGGAAGAAGACCACTGAGCGACTTGTTGGGGTTGGTTGGGGATTCCCGACACTGGGGCTTCCCGCGCAGGCTCATCATAAAAGCCATGGTGTAGGGTCCCTCGAAGGGCAAGGGAGATGGTGGGGTTTGGTCCTCTTCCTCCTCTTCTTCGACTGCTTCCTCTTGTTGTTGCTCCTGCTGTTCCTGGTCAGCGGGATGCGCTTGCTCGCTGACGGGCTGTTGTGCTTGCGTGGCCTCGGCAGCCTGGGGCGCAGCGCTGCTGGCTGGTGCCTCTGCCTTTGGTGCTGGGGCCTGCTCCTCTTCCTTCTTGCTGGGCTGCTCGGCGGCGGAGGCGGTGGTGGTGGCGACGGCAGCCGGTGCCGGGGCTTGCGGCTCGGGTGCCTTGGCGGGCTCCTGGGCGGGCTTTGCGTTCTTGTCCGCCTCCTCTTCCTTGGGCTTGGTAATCTCAAAGAGGCGCTTGGGTCCTGTGGGCTTGGTAATGGTGGCGGCCGGGGGCGTGGCTGCCTCCTCCAGTTCCTTCTGCGGTTGCTGGACTGACTTTGTGGCGTCGCCTTGCACCTCAGGGGTGGTCGGGGTGGGCGGCTTATCTCCGAGCTTGAAGAGGAGCGTGCTTCCGGCCGGCTTGCTGCTCGGCGGAGCAGATGGCGTCGTGGTGGTGGGGTTGGTTGCGGCGGTGGTGGAAGCTGGCATGGTGGGACCTGTGCGCAAGGGCATGGGCTGGCGCTGGCCGTGCTGGTGAGGAGGCTGGCCAGGCATGGTGTGTGGCTGCTGCTGGTGCTGCTGGTGCTGTGGGGCAATCATGTGCGAGCCATACGGGCTGGCGTAAGAGCTGGGCACGCCCATGGGCGTCGTGCCGGCCTGCATTTGGGCGTGCATGGGCGGGGCGACGTGGGTGGGTTGAAAGTACTGCTGTGCCATGGGCTGCATGGTTGGGGTGAATGTATGACCGGGCTGGTGCGGCTGGTGGTGGCGAGCGTGGTGCGGGAGGTGCTGCTGATGTTGCTGCTGCTGCTGGTGGTAGGGCGAGTACTGTGGGTGGCGGCCTTGAGCGTAGTGGCGGGGTTGCTTGTTGTGGTGCGACATGGTTGTGGGTGCGCTTCGAGAGAAGTTCAACTGAACGCGGTGAAAAATGAGGTTGCGAGCGGTGCGGTGGCCTCACTGCAAGGGCTCAGTGCCGATTGCGTGTGCCAACGTCTGGTCTTCTGGTTGTTGTGAACACAGTGGATATCTGCACGTGGAGGCACACGCACACACACACGCTCAAGGAGGGTGGTGCAAAAAAGGGAGAATGACGCGTGGCAGTGAGCATGGAAGCGTGGCACGCGGGCTGCTGGTGGCCGCTGAAAATGGCAAAAATCGTCCAAGAGGAAAAACAGCGCAAATCATCCACAAATCGCCCACAATCGCCTTGGTCGAGCGGAGGAAGCGGAGCGTGAGGCAAAGTTGACAAGTGGCAGCAAGGAAGCAAGTGGGAGCGTGACTGCGAGGGCGTGAGCCTAAGCGTAAGAGTGGCAGACCATCAGCGTCATGGAGGAAAAAGGGAAGCAAGCATTTGACAGCGTGTCTGCATACCTTCACACTCAACTCACAGGTATGATGAACACATTCACATATCGTTTGCATGTTGTTTGTGTGTGTGTTTCTATGTTTGTGTTGGCGTTCGAATGTGTTTGTGTGTTTGTTTGTGTGTGTGTTTCTATGTTTGTGTTGGCGTTCGAATGTGTTTGTGTGTTTGTTTGTGTGTGTGTTTGTGTTTGTGTTTGTGTTTGTGTTTGTGTTTGTGTTTGTTCGTTTGGATTGGTGTTGTGTGTGTGTTGTGTGTGTTGTGTGTGTTGCGTGTGTTGCGTGTGTTGTGTGCGTGTGGTTGTGTTTCTGCCTGTATCAAGTGCACGTGACGCATTTGGAACTGACGCCTTTGGAACTGACGCCTGTGGGCTTTTATTGCTTACTCTTTGCTCATGGTAAACCAGCAACCCGCAGCGAGTACGAGTTGTTGGAAAAGCTGAACACAGCCGCAGAACATGAGGTAAACACCATGAAGACGGCAATGGAGTCAACAAACAACTCGATGCAGGACATCAACAAGCAACGTGAGTTTGTGGCGTGCATATGTGTGTATAGGGGTTGTCTAATGTGTGGGTTGTTGTTGTTGTTGTTGTTGTTGTTGTTGTTGTTGTTGTTGTTGTTGTTGTTGTTGTTGTTGTTGTTGTTGTTGTTGTTGTTGTTGTTGTTGTTGTTGTTGTTGTTGTTGTTGTTGTTGTTGTTGTTGTTGTTGTTGTTG